ATACCAAACCACAAAATAAAATTTTTAAAATAAGAATCAAAAAGAGAATATTTGAAAATATTATTGTGAATTGTTTCATAATTTTCAAGTCAGAAATGATTTTTTTATGAATTTTTAAAGTTGGAAACTATTAAAACAAAAATCAGAAAATAAAATAATAAACAAAAACATCTGGACCACTTGATCATTGTCAAAACACATTAGTAAGCATATCTGATGGACCTGACGCGCTGTGCATGTTATGGACCTCAATGGATATCACACTTGATCATTTATTTAAAACAGATTTAAAAAAAATGTGTGGCAATTCCTCATTGGTTGAAAATGTCGGCGTTGTCGTCTTTAACCTCTATCCAACCTCAAAATAAGTTTCTTAAACTGTAAAATTAGAGGCTCATACTAATGCCATTTGCTTCGTCTCTTCAAAACGATTCCAATGGTACCCTCACAAAAAATTTATATTAACCATAGCTTAGTCGATTTGCAAAAAAACAGAAGAAGAAAATGAAAATGGATTTGAAAATTTATGAGCAGAACTCACTTCCAGTTAAAAATAAATGATTCCATGAGTATCAGAATGATGAGAGCTACATTGTAGTAACAAGTTTGAAGAGAATTGATGGAGGAATTTACCTATTGAAACTCAACTTTAGAGCTCTGAAACTAGACTTGGTGAGGTTAATTCAGTGCTCTATTTTTGGTGGTAAGAGTATGGTTAACTTCATAGAACTTCAATGAAGTTAACTGAATCAAAAGAAAGGAATGAAATAGCCTCTAAATAATAAAATGAAATTAAAAATTTCAGAGGTTTTGTGAGGTTCTGACAGAGCTTCTTTGGCTATCCAAGATCGAGGAATTGAGTTGAATGTGTCTCTTATTTATAGTTGAGCATGATGGAAACAAAAAGTGAGAGAAATGATCAAGTATGAGTGAAATTTGTGTGCACCTGCATCATGAGAAAGTGTGACTTGTAATCCATCAAAACTTACTCAATTCTTGCGGTTTGATTCTTAAACAAGTCTAAGTGAGTTTGTTAAACATGTTCAAGTGAAAAACACGCACAAAATTAGTGATTAGAATGCACATTATGAAAATCAAATTTTGACTTAAAGCAACAACTCAATTTCATGGAAGCAACTTCAATAGCACGAGACACACAATGTAGGAGGCTTTATGATCACATTATTTTTGAAATGTAAATATCCCACAACAAACTTCACAATGTGCCAAGAAAGGTAGCATTTGAATGCTTGAGCAAAAAGTTATTCAAATTTGAAATCAGGAAAAACACACAGTTATTTTGTACTTAGAAAAATTATAATTGTTAAGCTTCAAAATGACCTATAATGTCTTGCAAACTTACATGCCTTTCCACTCAAAATTAGCTCTTGATCCTTTATTAAATGAAGTAGACCCTTTGAATTGAATTATGGAATTGAGATCACTCAAAAATCATAAAAATTGAAAGAGTTATAGTCTTTGGAAGATGATGAACAAATTTGGGGAAATTCACAAAAGACCTAAATCTTTTTAATTCTTAAACAACTTTCCAAGCATTTTCAAGTCTTGTATATTGAAACAAAGTTGTATTAGACACCCAAAGATTATTGTAGAAAATAATGAGCTCAAGGAGATAAAAGATGATCAAGTTATGATTCTTTGAAGTCACACAAGAGAATTTGATAGCCTTTTCAAAGGACTTGTAATCTTCTTTAACCATTAGTGATCTTCCACTCAAAATTAGCCTTAAAACCTTCAAGATGACTTTTTAATGACCCTTTAAAGAGAATAATGGATTTGGAATCAATCAAAAATCTCAAAAAATGAGTAAGATATGGTCCTTTGAAGTCAGCAAACCCTAGCTCAGAGAGTGTCAAAATGACTTGTAACCCCTTTCAACTTTTGATGATTTTTCTTGCACAATTGGATCTTGTCATGTGAAGAGAAGTTATTTTGGATGAAGATAAGAAACCATAGCAAAAAGAAGCAACTAAAAATATTGAAAATTGAGAGATTTATGTACTTGTTATCACTGAATCAAGCACTTGCTCAATTAGGTTAAACTTGTTGAATCAACCTTGAATCTTTTGAACTTTATTTGCAAGGTAGAACATGATGGATCACATGAGACCTTGAAATGATTTTATCTTGAACACACTCAATGGTGGAGCTTAAGTCTCGACGAAACTTGTTTAAGAAGGCATGGAAATAAATACATGAACCTATGAATCTTCTTCATGAATACCACCACCAACCTTGAGGAAAACTTGACCTAAATAAGGTGAGAGAGCTCTTTGAACAAAAAAAATTGATATCATAGACATAGTCTTGAAGCTTAAGCTCTTGCAATCCATTGAAGAACCATTTAACTGTGGATTATCCCTCTAAACCCTAGGTTAGATAGTGAGATGGATGCAGTTATGTCATCACCTACAATATGAACATCCAAAGAAACATATATACATATTTTGATGTTAGTTAAAAATTAATCCACCTAAAAAAATATATGTAGAAGATACGCAATTCAAGGTGCTTGGTGATCCCTCAAGAGCAAACTTAAAGATAGGATGAAGTAGAAAGGGAGAACCAACCCTAATGTGTGATTTTGATATATTGATAATGAGATAATGAGATATCTTAGGGGGGAAATTAGGATATAACAGTCACTAAATGTTTAACAAATATAAATAATTTCTTCGGTAGACACATCATATTTTGTTGCTAATTGAAATGACTCCCCTCAAACTTAAAGGGTCTGTTGAAGTCACTAAATGTTGAAGCAATACAAATAATTTCTTTGGTAGACACAACAGAAAGAAAAGTCTTAAAATACATGTACGAATGCGCCCTCAAATATAGTCACAAGACCATTCATAATAATTTCTATGGAGAAGGGACATTTTCTCGAATGACACTAATTCTTAGAAGATAATTTCAAGAAATACTTTGAAACTCAATGAGTAGAAATGGAAGAACGAGCTCTGAAAGCTCAAAGAGTGGAAAATGAGTGAAGAGGAAAAACTCAAAAGTTTTTTGTGTAATTTTAGAAATAACTGAAGGTCTTTATTTATAGAATTTTTTTAGCTTTGATCTATGAACAAAAGACTAAATCATTTTTTTTGTAAAAAAAAAAGACTAAATCATTTGACGGTTATGGAAGTAGATAATGAGATGAAAAAATGTAGGAGAGATTTCGGGAGTGGATCTTTAGTCAAACTAAGTGGGAGAGAATTCGAAAGCAGTGGCACATTATCACACCTAATTATAACAAGCCCATTCAATGCTAACCGTAACTATTCTTAATCAAGGTTGATCATTCTCGATGACATGCCAATTTTGAATTTTATTATTTTCATTTTAAAAAATTAAAGTTTCTAGTGCCAAAAATAAGAATAATATCATTCCATAGGCTCAAGACCAACCTGAGTCAGTCACAAGGGTCGTACATGATATTAATTATTGCATTTGCTCAGACTCACACCAAGACGAATGTTGCTCACTCAATGTTAATTGTAATTATACTCGGTTAAAATTGATTGTTTGTGATGACTTGTCAATTTCAAACTTTTTGTTTTAATTTTTTAAAAAAAGATTATAGTTTCTAGTTCCCAACAAAAGAGTTAATACTAAACCACGTACTCAAGTCAATCGACTCGACCCCACGTGGGATTAGTTATTGCATTAGCTCAATTTCAAATCTAGTCAGAGATTACTAAGGCATGACTATAAAAATACTTAGTCAAAGTTGAACATTGCAGATGACATGCCAATTACAATTTTAATTTTTCTTTTTAAAAATTAAATTTTCATGTTCGAAAAAGGGTAATTAATACCAAGCCACAAGCTTAAGCCGTTCAAAAGGATCGAACATGATATAAACTATTGACATCACTTAGTTTCACACTAGAACCTTATGGAACCAAACTGACTGAGTCGCATAATATAGTGACTATTTACATTCCTTAAACTAAGTGCCAAATTTATATACTCCTTGCGACACATCATAAGGAGAATTAATACCAAGTCACAAACATGAGTCGGTTGGACGAACCACACATGGTACTAGCATTAGTTATTGACATCACTCAATCTCACATATGAACTTAACTTAGTCAAGTTGATCAGGCTAAACATAGTAGGTAAAATTAAAGTTTCCAATTCCAAACAAAAGAATTAATACCAAACCACATACTCAAGTCAGCCGGGCAGATCCCACGTGGTATTAGTTATTGCATTAGCTCATTTTCACATCCAATCACAAGTTGCTAAGTCAATATTGACTATAACGGTACTTTGTCAAAGTCAATCGAGATGACTTGTCTATTTCGATTTTAATTTCCAAAAAACTTAAATTTCATGTTCAAAAAATAGTAATTAATACCAAGGCACAAGCTCAAGCCAATCGGTCGAACTCCACATAGTATTAATCTCACACCAAAATCTTATTGAATCGAAATGATTGAGCCACACATGTATTACTTATTTATATCCTTCACCTAGTGCAAAATTTATATACCTCTTACAACACACCTAGTTTGTTTCAAATGTACAGTAGTACAATATTTATTTTATACATTCATGCTGTTGATTATTTCACATCATTATCATTTTCACCTTTTGTTTAAACTGGATAGCAAAACCAACCGTGACATAACAATGTTTTAGTTTAAGGCTTTATGCAAGTAACTAACAATTAGTTCAAATTTAATTTGATTCTTACCACTCAAGTAAACAAACGATATGATCTACACTGAAACAGTGCAAGGACCTGAATGTCTTGAATGTAAGAGGTTAAATATGTTACCAAAAAAATGCTAAGATAATTAAATAGAAATGGTAAGCTAGAATGAAAGAAAAATTAACACAACCACCAATTATTTTATTTTTTGGTCTAAGATAACAAACATTACTAGCTAGGCATAGTGAACCTTCAACTATTAGTAGCATAACAGAGCAGTTAAGGCAACAACCTTGAAAATATATAATAATCAATCCTGGTACTAGAAAGGGCCTGGGCCTGGGCCTGGTGGTGGTGGTGGGCCACCGAAGCAATCTTGTACCAACCAGCAACAGCATAAGCAGTAAAAGCTGCATTAAGGAATTCAAATTTAATTAGAAAATAATCAAATCAATCAAAAGAAAAAGTATAACACACCATGAAGATATGAGGCTAAATAAACCGTCAGCAAATCCACCAAAAAAGCCTCCAGGTCCAGGTGGACCCCAGCCAGGGCCTCCCGGCCCAGGACTCCAAGCAGGTCCACCAGGGCCCCAACCGGGTCCCCCACCAGGCCCACCACCAAGTCCTCCCGGGCCAGGCCCCCAACCAGGCCCGCCACCAGGCCCTCCTGGTCCGCCAGGTCCCATGGTTATTTAGCTTTGTAGCACCAAATTACACCAAGGCAAGAGAATAAATAATCTTCACTTTCAGCACAATGAACGAAGAGACCAACCAAAGGGTGTGTGATAAGAGTAGAATGCTACAAAATTGGCTCCTATATATATATAAAGGCTGTAATATTCAACAACTATTCTTCATGACCGAAAGAGACACAGAGATTGAATTAAATTGCATGGTTAGCTACTTTTCAAACCTACGGATCAAAGAAAACAATCTACTTCAACATTAGGCAAATATACTTTGTCACTTCGTTCAACTATGAATCAAATCATCCCGTTGACCAATTGTTGATACAAAAGATATGAATAAACTAGTTAGATTCGTCACCTACTTATGTATTTTTGTAATATTTTATGTTAATAAATATAATCATTAATAAGATTATTAAAAAATTATTACTTCTTTTAGAGATAGTGCATACTAGAATTTTAAAAAATAGATTTGCAATTTCAGTTGGTACAAATGTTATGACATTGATTACGATTATTATAATAAGAATTAATCAAAATTTATTTTTTAATATAAAAACTATAATAATAAATATTTATATTTTAAAATTATTTTGTCGCAGCTCATTTCACGATTCTTCTTGGAGACTGTGTAGGAGAGTATTGATCTTTATTTCAATATTTATTATATGTTTTTTATTTTTTCAATTTAAAAGAATTATTTTAAATTTTTTAATCCCATATATTTCTAGCCATTTAATTCTAAAATTATATAAATCATTTTATTAAGGACATGTTTATTTATAAAATTATATAACTGTCCTTAACTGAAAATTATATACGATGATAAAAACATATTAAATTAAATATTTAATAATGAATATCACAAAATAAAAATATATTTCTAAATAAAAAATAAATTGAATCAAATATAAATACTAATTTATTTTAATAAACTAATAAAGAAGATTTAAATATAATTTTATGTATTTTCATTTTATAATAAATTGTAAATAAAATGAGATCACTTTTTCACTACTACAAATAATATATTTTATGACAATATTTTTATCTCATCCAACGAAAAAACTGAAGTATAATTCTAGGACGCGCCACTTTTTTTTAACAAAAAAATACATATATTTTCTTGGTTGTAGTAGATAATTGAGTGGTAAACTAATTTTGGATACATGTTTGGAATCCCAACAACTATAGTTTATGCTTTTATTTTTTTAAAATTGGCGTCTTTTTTTAATTTTATTTTTCATTTAACTATTATATTATCTATTCTTTTGGTTACGCTCATAGCTGAGGGGCATGATACACATATTTAACTATAAAAGGATTCATTCACTAAATTTTATCCTAAATCTAACTCATTTACAGTTGTTCCGTATTCGTAAATATCAGTCTTTCAGATGGTTTGTAAGACAGAGAAATACTTTGGTTATGTGTTATTGTTCTTCTGACACTAACCTTGAACAAAACATTTGTTTGGTCTTGCAATCTATCTCATATAATATTGTTGTTTTGTTGTTGTTGTTGTTGTTATTGTTGTTGTTGTTATTGTTTCCACCTCTTGACAATGTTTAATAGTAAAAGAAAACATTGTTATATTTTAGAATAACTTTTCAATATTGTCAATAAAGAAATATTTATAATATACTTCTTTCTTCATTTGAGAACATTGAGAAATTCATTTCATATCGTACTGCAATTTATTTTGAATATAGTCATTTGTTTGATTATTGCAACACACAAAGAAATTGGTGAATGGTAAAAAAAATGAAAAAGAAAACAATATATGTTTCTTACAATTCTTTTCATTCACCATTTTTTTACAATATATGTAATCTATTACCTCGGTTGATTTAGACACCGACGGGAAATTCTCTATTTTATTCAATTTTTATTTGAAAAAATGTAACATTTTACCTCGATTTTTTATCTTAACCGACGAGAAAAGTAAGTCAGTTTTGTTTCACTATATCTTTGTCGTCCATAAACAAATTTTTATCATCTATTTATTGAGGATCAACACCCAAGACACTACCAACACATTAATCTACAAGAAACATTAGTGATCCACGTGAAACCGTCACAACAATCATTGAGAATGCGAACACATGTTATATATCTGAATCACAAACATGAAGTTTCATTTCTCTAATACATTAATGGGGAGAACCCCAATACGATTTTATTTCTTGTCTCCTAAGATTTCGTTTCGTTATTTTTATTTATTGAGTCTCCTCTTCAATTGCACATCTTTGGATTAAGTTTTGAATCCACTTGTTTTAACATGCAAATTCAAGTGTTTGCATTTGAATATGATCATTATGTTTTAAGTCAATTGGTTTAGTTAATGGAACAAGAACCATATTTGATGTTGGTTCAAGTTATGTGGGAAGTGGAATATAAAATTATTTTGAAAAACTTGAAAAATTAAGATTTCATATGTGTGACTCGAATCACTTAAAAACCGTGACTCGAATCAAATAAAACAGAGGAAAGTATGAAGGATTTTTGTGAATATGACTCAAATCAAATATTTCATTTGATTCAAATCATGCAACATTATGACTCAGATCACAAGTTGCATGTGATTTGAATCACATAAGTTCCTGTTAGTCTATTCCCAGTTTAATTTGAATTGCATTATTTCTCACATTTTCATGTTTGGTGTTATCCGATTTGATTCGAATCACGATGTCTACATAACTCGAATCATGACCTTTCATGACTCGAATAACAGTTATAACTTGACTCAAATCACAGAAAATGGGTCACTTTCTTTATGTAGATCTTGTTCCACTCTACTTGTCACTTGACTCAAATCAACAAATTTTCTTGACTCGAATCTAACAACGATTTTCATTTATTTTTGTGCTTAATCTTTGGTACATATAAATCTTTTGTCATCTCATATCTTTCACAACTACGTAACAAAAACTTTCATTTTTTAAAACTCAAACCACTTACAAACGAAATTCTTGCATCTTCAACCTCATGTTTTGGATTCAAATCTTGATTGAGGAGATTTGTAAATGTTAAGGAAGACTTGTCTTAGAACTAATGTTTCTTTGAAGAATGTTTAAATATTTTCATGAGGCTTGCAAGATTGTGGTAGTTATGACTGGTGGTGACAAATTTCAGTGAAAAGAAGGAGGTTCTTCTCTGTTAGCTGACCTTGGTAGTGGTGTGTGGAAGTCTACATACAAGGTAGGAGTTCTTCTCAATATTTGGAAATTTCATCACTCAAGAAATCAGTGGAATCATGGGGGATTGCCACACATGAAGACTTGGAGGAGATTGGTGAAGCTGGAATATTCAATAAGCAATAATCGAGTAAATATTTCATAGAGAGTTCGGCATCAAGGTTGTATACAAGTTTAGATCCAGACAGGAGATTTATTTTCTTAGCATTATTATGGATCTCGTGATTCTGTGAACTCGTGTAATCTTTGTCAAAACATATTTGAAAAACAAATTTCAATGGGAAAACATTAGAGAAAGGAGTAGGCTCCTGCGAGGACGATAGATTCGAACAAGTATACATCTTGGTGCTCTCTCTCTCTCTATCTATCTATCTCTCTCTCTCTCTCTCTCTCTCTCTCTCTCTCTCTCTCTCTCTTGCATTTTAATTTTCTTAGATTATTGCATGTTTAGGTAATAAGTTCTTACTGTAGTTTTTTGTTAATTCTTGTTGGTAGAGATAAATTACATAAGTGTAGGTTTTGTTAGAATTTAAACCTATTTTTGTTTTAGTGTTGATTAAAATCGGTAAAATGTAGTGTTAGAATCACATAGCAGTTGAATTTTGTAAACAACACTTCTCGGGAAACTTTACAATTTATCAATTCAATATAGTTTGTAACTTTTTGTTATTGTATTTGAAAAATCTAAAGATAATTGTGAATTAGAGTATAATTTCATTTGTGATTCCTTCCAAGATAAGCATAACATCTATATTTTTGCAAATCACTTTTCGCAACGAAAACTTTGAATTTCATTTTGAAAACCTTGAGAAACAATTTTGAAAATCGGACAATTTTTATTGGGTTTATTCACCACCTCTAGATTGTTTGTTCACTCCATATTCTATCCCAACAATTAGCCTCATAGTTGGTCTTCTTATCAAGTCTAAGCGACTCAAAATTTTGAGAGTTTGGGTGACGACGATCCAAAGGGAACATATAATAGAGCCTCAATTTTTAAAGATGATAATTATGCTCATTGGAAAGAATACATGTATGTATATTTACTATCGTTTGACAAATATTTATGGGTAGAAGTTACCAAAGGGCCTTTCATCCCTAGAAGAGAAGTCGATAGCTCTACTAAACACCTAAAGGATTGGTCAGATGATAAAACCAAAAAGGCTTCATATTATCTGAAAGCGGGGAATATACTTATCTCAGATTTAATAGTGAATTATTTTACTCTATTTCACATCATAAGAGCGCATAAAGCTATGAGGAACACTCTTCAAACCATTTATGAGGGAAGTAAAGACATAAATAATTCTAAGATCAACATGTTAACAGAGGAGTTCAAACTTTTCCATATGGAACCCGGATATCCATGGAATCCATGCAGACTCATTTCCCACACTTAATCAACAAACAAAGTAACTTAGGAAAATATGTTTCTAAAAAAGATTGTGCTAACAAAATATTAAGGTCATGTAGGAAGTGTCAACCTAAGGTTACCTCCATAAAATAATCTAATGACCTTAATACTTTGTACATAACAAAGTTGTTTTAGAAACTTATTGAACATGAGAATAACCTGAAACGACTCGCGAATAACGTAGTAAATTCGAAAAGGAAAGAGAAAGGTAAAGAATAGAAAAATGGATTTTTCTTTGAAAACTTTGTCATCTAAAGAGAAGAAATAAAAGGAATAAAGTGATAACTTTGAGGAAGGGTCTCCTAAGGAAGAGGAGTTGGGGTTATTCGTTAGACGCTATAATTATTACTCGAAAAGAAAGAAGCTCAAGCATTCTGATAAATATT